AAAAAAAGCGTGCCTTGCTAAATACAGTTTATAGGCCACTATTCACCCACCTCTATGATTACGTTGTAATTTCCTCGGCATTTTTCTCTCATATACTGCAGACTGTTTTTAGACTAACCAATTTTTATGTAAACGTAGATTCTAACAACAGGGTCATTTATTTGGCGGTTTGATCAAACCAGCTGTAGTGGTCTGATGCGGCGAAAACCAACGGCAGTGGAACAGTTACCAGTAAATCACGTGATTTATTTCAAGTTAACACAAAAATTTACCCTGAAAAAATGAGGAAATTATTGAAAGGGATCACTTTCGTGTACTTTCTACTATAAGCAATTTAATATTCCAAAAAGAATTTTATAACAAGAGCTCCTTTAATTATTTGATTTCCAGATATCACGTGAACTCGGAAAAGTAGTTTTTCGTTACAGAAGCATTTCCTGATGGACTAAATTTAATGCCTACTTAAATAAGTCCAGAAGTCAATTCTGAATAAAACCAGCGAAACATTTATGGAAACAGGAATAATGTCGACAACAACAAAAACCTTTTTCAAATAATTCATACTTTTTATTCGGTTTCGATTTCCGTTACGGCAAGCTAGGCAAAGAGTTGCTTTTGGTTTTCATCAGGAGCATCTAAGGCGGCGGTCCTCTTAAACAGTCAGCTGAAACTACGATCAAAGAGCTTGGTATTCTTGCACAGCTTTTTAACTTTGAGGAATCTCATCGATCATGCTAATCTAGCCGACCGACTGTGGTTCAAACTATAGATCGTACAGGAAGAATGCAAACATAATATTCACTTGACCCCAAAGAGCTGATCTAACTCATTCGGTCTGACTGGCTATTTGTGTGCGCACTTTATTCTATTCGACATGCAACTGAATGAATGCCCAAAGCGATTTGCAATCAATTTCAAACCATAACGGTGATATCGTAGTTTTTCAACCTTACAAAATGTTTTGTTTTATATTCGTCTCCGTAATATGGCGAGTTATGGCTCATAGCAAATGGTTATTACCCTTCCATTGTTGCGTAAATCTCTTCTTCTTGAAAAGAATTTGATCATTTACGTTTAATAATTAATTGTATTCATTTCGGTTGATTGTGATTTTAAGTAACAAATTGTAAACAAACAAAGGATTCTGTCATCACGACTGCATCTGACATGTGTGAAAGTCTTTTGTCGAGTAGGATGATGCACCGAACAGACCTGGCGTTCCCGATGAAAAAAGCTAGAAGTTCAGGGATACAGAATTGATAATTTGCAACCGAATAATCAACGTTCACAACGCATTTTGTTGATAATTAATCTAGTTGAGGAACTAAACGCAGATTATTCTGTTTTGTCCACATCAAAAGCGCCTATCGTTTCTGACATAAATTCCTACTTCAAACGTCTCAACATAGTAACTTATTACTGGACGAATATTCAAATTCATTTCATGGAAAACTGTATGGTCTTCGTGGTATTCTCCCTATGGGCCCACTGTTCACATCCCGATGATAAAGCTCGGTTCTATGCTTATAGGAAAAATGACTGAAAATGTGCACAAATGAGCCTGTCTTTGAAATGCTGCTTGGTGTATGATATAACTGTAACGTTAAACATTAACACTTATGGACTCTATTTGTTCACGGTAAAAAAAAACAAGAAGAAAACTCATACTGAGAAGATTAAGCGTTGCTCACTCTTACTGATCTGTAACGGATAATAGCTCAGTTTGTGTGAGATGAATAGTCAAAATACAAGAATAGCATCTGACAGTTGTCGATTTTGACTGTTTGTGGTACATGTAACGACGCAAAGCAGGATTGGTTTCCAATTTGATCACATGGCTTCATTAAGCGCGAGTAGTTCCAAGTTGGCGCAGCGTAACCGCACATTTGTATACCCCATTCAAATCATCCCGGTAGTCCCGAGTTTCTGGATAACTTTCAGTTTTTCAGTTTAAGGTCAGTTTAAGCTCTACCTTCGGATTTATGTGATAACTCACTAAATCATATTTTTTCGTGTTCCATATATGCATGTGTCAACAAATCTGCAACTGAACTAGAGGACAATATGCCAGATATATGGATTCGAGCAGCTTTAGGAGTCAGGATGAAATTTCAGATATCCAGATATACACTCATTGTACAAGAACTCTGTCATATGTACTGCGGTGACAGAGCAATGTGAATAATGCACATAATGTAAAAATTAAGATTGCCTCAGAAAAGCAGCTCAATTGTCTTTGTTTAATCTCCAAGATTTGTCTGGGCACCCTGTTGTTTTCCATAACGTTTTTATAATATATAAGAAGACAATGAGTTTTCACTTTAACGTTTTCCCATTTTTGTTTGATAGCAGGTGTATAAGTAGAGGAACCACCGCCAGAGCATAAAGACAGCCCAGAGTTTATGGGATAACGCAGGTAAAGAAGTAGATTAATTAAAATCACCGCTCCATATCACCCAACGATGAGCTTCATATTCATGTCTTTGATCCAGAAGACTGATGCTTGCTGAGCCCAGGGATGTTTAACTATGATCTCTTCTTTTCCAGATAGTAGTGACTTTGGGTTGATGAAATTAAGTGAAAATGATCATGATTGGGAGTGCCGTGAGCAAACAACTACACAAACCTGGATAATTCGCGCGGCTGGTTCATAATGGATCCGGACCAGGAAAAGCTCTTCTGGCGTTTTACAGAAGGTATTCTCTCACTACGGTCTTAAGAACATGCTTGCTCTTCAAATTCCTGTGATGGAACTTAGATCAAACGAAATAACGAAGATAAATAGCAGTTTCATCAAAGCGTCCTCTGGTTCAAACTGATGTTTTGTCTGTTCACCGATAGGTTTGCACTTCTCATTTTCAAAACTTAATGACCATTATTCTAGCAATATTTCCCTTCTGTCAATTCGGATAATTGTTTACTGTCGGTTCCGAAAAGTTGGACTGAACTTTAAAATTCTGTAAACCTTTAATTGCCGAGGTAATGTCATGGTGAAACTCATTGAATGTGTATCATTATCAACATGGAAACTAAAGCTGCTATGAGAGTGAAGAACAATAGGAAACGAAAAATGCAAACGGCATCCATTAAACGTCACTGTTTTCTGGTCACTGTTGACCAGTGCTTTCCTATAAACTTAGTCAACATGTAATATGATTTCAAACCTTTTGATTGATGTATACTTACACGTCAGAAATGAAATTCAAAGCAATATATAACGAATTAGAACACTTATTCCTTTATTGTGCATTAGCTATTCCCATTCTGTTAGCTGATAACCAATAGGCTAATTACTCCGGATGTAACTTGATGTGGTAAATACAAACGTGATGCGAACGTATGTCGGTCCGTTTCTCGACCAAAACGCCCCGTCCACTTCCCTTTTATTCAAAACGTTGACGAAAATCATTTGATCTCATTATTTCACCTCTTTAACAATTCAATCGGCATTTATCATGAACTGCAGACAAATGTACTTCAGTTTCAACTCACACTTGTACGGAAACTTAAGTTCCGACACATCTAACGGCAGCGGCTTGTTCATGCGGAAAGATGTGTGAACAAATCGATGACGATTATCTTTTTGGGGATTTAAACTTTAATAGCCGTTCTCGAGTATGGCTGTAGCAATTATTTTCACAACATATACTAAATGGACCTCAGCGGAGAATAAAGCTAAATTGTTCTATAAAGTTACCACGACAACATGTAGAGAACAATGGGACGTGGGAAAATGGGTGAGCCTCATTGTTTCCTTGTCCTTAAATATGCCTTTTTCCGGTTATGGACATACATTTCATGACAAAATGAGTGTTGGATTAAAAACAAATAAGGCAGTTACTTTATTGCAAAAAAGGCACGTAGAAATAGGCACAGATGCTGTATTTTACAATTAAGTTGCTCCTACTTTACTCCGAAAAATGACATTTGTATAACTTAGTTCCACCGCCTATTGTTGAGCAATGTTTCAGAGGGCGTTTTAGCCATAAAACTGTCCACTCTAAATTCTGAAACGTATCGATCGATACCTCGTAGTGAGTAGTAGCTGAACTAGAGATAATAATGGACAACTTTGAGAGCAATATAAATATCTGTGGAGCATACGTGGAGGAGCGGTCATGAGCGACTGAAGGGTTTGAAACATGTTGAATAATGGATAAAAAATAGGAGAAAAGATGTTCTCATAACTTTCTTAGATAAAATATTTTCCACAAGTGTGAAAGGATTCATTTCCATCCTCATTTCGTTAAAGCGTTAAACTGTAAATAAAACTTCTCATGGACAGATTACCTATATGGTGAAAGCAGCAAGTCATACTGAACCTTAAGAACTATGGTTCAATGAAACGCTGAAACGCTAAAGGCATTCTTTGCTTTTAATCCATTTTCTCATTCATTATTCTTAAGAGAATATAACTTCTGATTGAGTATTCAAAGATGTCAACTTTATGCACGGTAAACGAACTGAAGCCTGAAAATCAGGTAAACCTTTGCCGTATATCGATTTTGACTATATAGAAACAATAGACAAATAAATAGTTGACTAATTATATTCATTTCCTGGCATGTTCCAATTAAAACCAATGTAAAGAGTCAAAGCAGTAGGATATGTTCGTGAATTTTTAGGTGTATTTTTCTCAACCTCCTTGCAATCGAAAAAAACGTTTGCCTTAATTTGCCCCAGTCCCCAAATGATTGTGGAATTCTCTCAGTGGAGTGAACATCGCAGGCGCTTAGACCAAAAATGATTGAGCTCGAGAAATTCTATTCATCGAAAATGAGAAGTTTTCATTTGGATGGTACAATAGTTTGATCCGCTTCTTCTTATAACACCTCCACTGTGAAGGCCAAACGAGCCAATATAATCCTGTACTGGAGTGTCTAAGCGGATTAATGCAACATAACGTCACAGATTTACTTCAGATGAATTTTGGCCTATATATCAAGAACCTTAAGTTGATTCTTTGGGGTTGTTATTCATTTTGCAATATTTCACAAAACATGAGTAGTATTAGGTCGTGTTACATGGATTGCACAACCAGTCGGAACTTCACCTTATTTGAATGGTGTCTATAATTGATAAAGTGAATTCTGACTTGTAAAGCCCGGCGTTGGAGGAAGATAATTAGACGAAATTATACACTGGCCTCATTTGAATGGCTCGAAACAACTGATAATTTGGGGATCGTGCTAAGCGTAATCTGAGCCACAGGCTGCTGTAATAAATGTGATGGTACGCTTCAGTGAGTTTCAAAGCGCATGAACTGTAATTTGGATAGTTTTCCGGAAACCGCAATCCTTTTGAAGCGAACTATTGAGTGCCGACAAATGACTTGCCAAATGTTCCAGAATATTTTGATACTTGGTGGAACGGTTACCCCTATTGCCAATATCTTACCCTTGAACCCATGAAATCAGTTCCATGCATAAAACGTTTTACAAAGTGGTCTATCACTAGCGCGTAAATATTTTTCTGAAAACATGACATTAAATGCAATTTCTACGAATGCAATGCAGCATTTCTTTAAAAGCTTAGGAAGACGTGAGTTTAATCTTTGAATATTTAGCATACCTTCACGTGCAAGATATTTAAAATGATTTGACTGGAAATATAAGATGTATTGATTTTTCTTTTCTTTCGTAGTATTTGTTTCAAATATATTCAAGCAATGTGCTTTTGAATGGAATGCGTGTGGATTGTCACTGATTCAAATATTATACACAGGAATGCATCTAACAGGAGAAATTGATTCCCCAGTATGTCCTTGCATGCATTATTTTCAACCCAATCTGGTCAAACAACTTCCGATAGTAATTTCTAGCAAAAACCTCTTGCCGTGATTCCAGAAAAACTACCGAAGTATGACGTGGAAATTACAGAGACGATTTAGGCTTTATCTGCCAGCCAATAGTAACACCTAGGTTGGTCACCATATACGTCAACAAACAAATAAAACTCGTTTTACAATCCGCATAAAGTGGGGCAGTGACCTTCTCAATAACTTATTATTAACAATAAAATAACCACCAAAAGGAGAGGAAAACAATGTTTTTGTGCATCTTCGTTGGGCGGTGTTCGATCATTTTCAAATATAATACCCATGTAGTCAGAAATGGTAGAAACTCCATGATAGCAATTTTGCTTTCCATGAAGTCACTGGTTTTAAGTAACATATTGTTTTGATTGTATTCTTTGGTCAAATGAGAAATGACCATAAAGCCCAGTAAGGTTGGCCATTTTCGTGGTTTTATATTTGTAGTTTCCTTCAAAGAGATCTGATTTCGGGTTAGTTTTTGATATAGGTTGAACATGTACGCGAAGCGAACCACGTAATATTTCTTCATCTCAAATATCGTGAAACATGAATACACTTTTTAATACACTTTATCATAACCTCGAAGACAAATTCCACTGATAAAAATTTGAACAAAAAGTAGTACCTCTGCTTCTAAAATGCTGGCACTTGAATGAAATCTTTCCGGAATAACTCCAACAGATAGTTCGTTTGTTTTTATCCATCCAATCTGGATCTCATCCCAAAGGCTTTTTCTAGAGTTACAAATAGTTTTAAAATTTAAGTCACCTCTGGTAGATCAAAGAATTTCTTTGACCCCAGTCACTTCAATTTGAGCATTCAAAACAGACATTCTGGAATAAAATATGTATTTTAAACTGGGGTCCATATTAAGTATGTCAACACGTCAAACGTGCGACATAAATTTTTGGAAGTCAGCACGAAATGTGTCTCATGTGAAGTTTGAAGAATATATTTTATAATATTGGCCCTTTATTAGCAAACAAGCTTACAGATTAAAATGGCACATAATAAAGCCCAATTCTCAGCATTACTGGCGGGTTGCATATATTTGCATAGATCATTCGGAAACTCAGGCAGGCGTGCAATCAATTGAACCTGGGAACAGTGTGTTTGTTAAGTTGCTGGTTAGCGTACGACCTGGTCACAATGATACAAATTTCGAACCTGAAAATGAGGATGTGGCAATTTTCTCAGGGAGCGATTCAACAGAGGCACTGTTTGTTTTTGTTGTGGTAATTGCACGAGGCTGGACAGTATTGTGTATTCAGAGCACTCTATGCCAACCTTTTCTTCTTTCTTTTCTTTATCCCTAGACAAAATGACCGGCAAGCTATTTGTTTTCTCTACGCCTCCTCCGTTGTCGCGGCCAGTCTGTCACTAGCGGTGGCGTCCATGCAATATGCCGATCATGTAAGTAAGCTTTCGCTTTTATACTGGTTGTATGACCTCGAAATGAAAGAATTCAGGAATGCCTGTAAAACCTCGTGTAGGCGATTCGTTCAGGAGTGCAGTGGGTATAGGATACGTATTGTTTCAACGACCCTTAAAAGGAAAACAATTTATTTTACTTATATCCCTAGTCCACCTATCCGGTCTTGTGCGTAAAATCCAACACAAAACTGGACAAATGTATTCAACTGTGGAAATGAGAAACCCAATTCGTTACATATAGAACAGACTTTAATTGAATACTCTTTCATTTTGAATTTGACCTAAGGTAAGATTGCGTATTTTGTGACTTATTCGCTAAGACATACCAATAGTAAATATAGTTTGTCCCTGAAATACGCAGTTCTTTTATAGCCCCTAGGGATTGCAGATTTGAACAAATCTAAAATGATTCTTCTAACTGTAAAATAATCAGAAAAGCTAGCCAAACTTGGTGATTAAAAAGCAAAAGCAAGGAACAAACATTCAGCAGGATTTAGGGGTAGATAATTACACATCTAAATGGTTTAAACTTTAGAATTTACTTGCAGAAATTCATTATAAAGAAACACGAATCTCCTTCAAAAAAATAGGAGATGGATGATTCCTATAACTACATCGCGGATGGTCTATTTATTGCTTCATTGAACTATGCCACTTATTAAAAGTATTTAGCATAGTGATTTCAATACTACGCGAACACCAAGCAGGAGCGGTTAACGTAGAATTGGTACAAGTTCACGGTGGCTATTTACCGGGAGGCACATCAGGCTGAACGAGTAAGGTTAGCTAAAAGATTTTCATGCCGAGGTTGATGCATGTAGAAATACACTTATGTCCACCGATGGCATGTTCAGGCTGCACATGATCAGTTAGAATGTACATCCGAACCTGACTCTGTGAGTGGTGTATGTAAGGTACTGATTTTTAACTTGAGTACGAGGTACACAACTATGTTAAGCAAAGGCCTTTGAAGAATGGTGCTGCCTGTTGTCTTTTTCTGCAAGGAAACGAGTAGACAGTGAATTAGGCGGTTCGTCTATTTGCAGTATGTAATCATACACGTAGCCAGTCGGCAGGTTGGTGAACATGCACGGCATCAAGATGCAAGCGGTTAAAAACCCGAACGTATAAGCAGGCGCAGGCGTGACATGAAATCAGAGTGTGATCAAGCAGGGCGGGAAACGAGCGCGAACAGTTCAATACCAACATCTGCTGGATTAAAGCGGATCGATACTACACTACAGTAAGTCCTCATCACGTGTTTAATAGTGTGTTATCCGGGAAAATCAGTCAAACAACCAATCAAGCCACAGACATGAACTGTAAAGGCATCGATCAACTGTCGACCATAGTATCACCTTCCCCTCTACGAGAAAAAAAATGATCAAATAATAAATAATTGTAAAGACAATAGTGGCTTCCGAACCTGAACAACAGAACAGTGCATATTTAGAGGCAATCGTGTTTTTTCCGACGTCCTTATTGCAATTCCGGAAGGTTATCCGTTGATGACTGGAGGAGTATAACATTAGTCTGGATAAATGACTTCACTAATATAAAAGATTTCGACAATAATCCACTGGAGACCATTGGGAGTGGGCTTGATCAAGTCAACAAGTGTGATGTCATTCTAAAACTTACCTGGAGCTTGAACATCAGCGTGGGATTCGTGCAATCTTACTCCACCTATTTAAAGAGCAAGAGTCATCATGACTGTAGTTGTGCATCGTATATCGATCTGGAGTTGATCAAAAAGTTATAACGAAACAAGTGAGATTGTGTCAATAAATGAACGTTAAGTAAATCAACAAATGAGAATCATGAGGAAAAGACTTATCCATGATATTCGAAAGGTACTACTGAGATGTGATCGACTAAAGGATAGAACAGAAGTATTCACAGTGACTCGTATGACCACAGTCTAAAAATCACATTGCACAGCAGCTGGATTGGTGTGATTTGTGACTGTGAACATTTGACAAGTAATTCATTCTCGTCTACATTTCGTTTTTGAAGAGGGTCAAAATACTTCTCTCGAGCATACCAGTCCCTAGTCATCATTTTTAGGGTGCTAATTATTTGAAGGAAAAATCATCTTGTACTGTCCAAGTAAACTCGAAAAACAGCATGGGATGCTTGCGGTTGTTTTGGTCTGGGCCTCATACTTTCAGAGTGCAATAACTGCCCGCATTTGAATACGTTTTACTTGACAGGAAGTAGTTTGACCACAACAGACGATACTATATAACAACGTTTACCTTACTTGGACTGGTCAGCAATGCGTACTTTTATCATGTCCACTGTCCACAATTGTTCATTGATGCGGTAGAATAAGGTACGTTTCGGGTTACTCAACATACAAGCTGATTATATTCGGGCAGTGTAGTGAAATATTTTGTCGGAGGTCTTTAGAGAAAACGGTCGGAGCAGATGCGGTACAGGTTGAGAAACAAAACAAATATGCCATAGTCGGAGACTCAAAAACTATTTGGAATCCTTTCAATTATATGACTGTCGGGTGGCTTTGAAAGTGGTAAAGCCAATTTTATCAGCGGAGATCGGAGACCGTGAGTGAATTATATTTTATTGGATAATTCAAAATTATTATTTTTATAGTCACGTGTTTTTGTTCGATACAAACCATTGATAACTGTTGCGAGCAAATATGTGTAACCAACCGACAAATAAATTTGTTGAGTTCTGGATCCGATTTCATTTCAGATTTCAGGGCAGCTTCTGGTAAAGAACAGCAGATTAGAGTCTGCGGCAAATCCACTGGTTCAATCATTGTACACCTAAGTTGGTGATCGTTTTAAACACCAAGAATAACTTCAGCGTTACAGGAGAAAACATTGTGTTCCCTTGGAACCTAGAGGGTGTCTGATGAGAATCATATTTCTTCATCAAAATTCAGATGGTCAGAAATTAGCAATAGATTATCGAGGGCGTGAAAAAATAAAAATAAATTCACGTTCAAAATGCTTTCCTCAAACTTCCTTGGTTTTTCAAAGTCCACTTCCACCTACATAGTTTACTTTTGAAATTCAAGTGACCAAGTATAGTTCACTGAATATTGTTTGGATGCAAAGAAAAAATCCAGGTTGTACTTAAAAATAAACTACACCATAGTGTTGAGTTTGTCAGGAAACTCAACAATGCAAGCTACATTATGCAGTCATTTATATAAAAAATTAATGTCGGTTTATTTCCTCAGTGTGGCAGATTGTATAAAAGCATGCGTTGATTTTTAATTATATTTGGTTGCACAATTATCTTTGGCATTTGTTCACTGAGGTCAACCATCTAAAATACATTGCTTTGCTAGAAAGGATTCGTTTTCTTAAAGTAAAAGAGAGGAATTTATAGTAAATTCATAGAAGGAGAGCACTAGGACGTTCTCTTTCATTGTAGGAACTTTACCGAGCCTAAACTAGAAGGGTCTTATGTTGGTCCCTTGGCCTTGCTTACCGGTTGACATCCGTGAACAGCAGGTCCCCGCCCGCTGTTCATCACACTGTGTAACATACCAAAACTTATGTGAATGTTAGCGTTGATAACACTATAACATTCACAATATAACAACACATGGCGCATCGATTTTTCGATACAATCCTCATTTGGTCACGATGTGTTAAAAATGACTGAAAAAACTAATACTTGTAATGCTTACACGAATGTGTTTTGATCCTCAAACTAACTGCTTTTGGGATTTGCTCGATCACCTTCACCCAGGCTCTAGGTAAATGCTTCTTGTTGAAACCAATTTTAAACCCAATATAATCCCTAATTCGGCTTGCTGAGGGGTGCAGGGCGGAGGTCAAGTGGTTACTATTAGTACCTTATCACCCGGCGGCAATGTATTTGAACTCGGTAGAAAAAATTTCGCATAGCAAATATTGGAGGTGCCAATTCCTTCTTTATTGAATATGATTACATATATGCATGCACTTTTGTCTTCTATAAAAAGGGTAAACAACAAATTCTTTGTCAAAGAAGAAATTCACTTTAATATTTCACGTGAACAAAAAATGTTATGAACTAAGAGTGGCTTTGCACATAACATTTCGATTTCCCATTGCATAACGATGAATCACAACTGAAGATTGGCTTCGAATGAACACCATATTTCCGCTTCCCTGTCTATCTTTTTTAGAATGATCATCGGAGTATCACAGCCGAGTGGGGCAGGCCGCTGTTCGTGAGCAGCCTTTACGCTACCAGTTGTCTCATTCTGATTGCAATGGCTGGCTACTTCGAATCGCATCGCAGTGAGACATTTGAGGCTGTGCATCGAGGAACAGGCCCCGTTCCATTTAGTGTGAAGTTTTCTATCAAGGGCGAGAAGGTGAATTTGTACCTCAGACTGGGTTTAGCAAGTGAGTTTAAGCAGTGACGAACCTATGCCTAATTCTTTGAAAATTCTTTGAAAACTGATGTCTTCATTAATTTACAATGAAATACTTCAAACATTACTTAACCTCGTTAAACTTCTGAAAAATAATGAACTTTCTATTAATTTTACTCTACTGTAATAAACAAAACCCATTTATTGACTATTTGTAACAGCGAAGTAAATTATTGCGTAAAGAAAAACGAACGTTGAACAAATGCGGTTCGTTTCGGTGTTTCCTTGTTTGAGACATTCGGTATAAATTAGCCAATGAAATAAGTTAGGTGGAATAGAGTTCACAAATACATAATAGAACACCTAGGTACCATAAATAAGCTCTTTTTGGGTGTACTGCCACCTTATTGGAATAGTAATATATCGATCGCCCTTGTTTCCGGTAAACAAATTCCCAATGAGGTGAAGGATTCTGAAAGGATTCATGATTACCATGATTGCTGCCTCAACTGAGGAATCTTGTGACATGCGTGTTTGTCACTTTTGATTACGGTAAACGTTTTACGAGTTCACTGTTCATGTTAGATGTGCAAAATGTATGTAGACAATTTCTAATAGATAACGACTTTCCAAAACAGTTCAATCATATTAGTAACGGTCGCGATTATCGTCAATGAAAGAGAGAAGCTCATGCAATAATTCTGATTTAACTTGTCTTAGTGAACTCCTTGCAAAACGTCAACATCAGATAAAGCAAAGAAAACTGTTTCATTGACGATAATCGCGACCGTTACTAATATGATTGA